AAGCAAGGAAAGGTTTATTTAAAGAAGTATAAATCGTAGTGCTACTCTACGGTCATGTTAAACCAATGCATGGATTTGTGATTTTAACAGAATCATTCCAGGAAAAAAAGAAACAGGAATACTTTTCAACAGCAATATTCTCACTTGACTTAAAGTAGCTGCACATTTATGAGATTAGATCATTAATAATTCATGAGCACTACACATGAAGAACATATGGAGAGTGCCAGCGTACTGAGAAACGTCTAAAATCCTACGCTTTCTCATGGAATAAAGGAAGAGGATTGCTTGCTTAAGGCTCACAAGAATAGCACCACGCAGACCAGACAACACTTAGAGGAGTAAAAGTCTCATGAGATACACTTAATTTAAATCAACGTAGGAACATGTTTCCTTCTCGTCTTCAGAGTGAGAGTGCTTTTAAATGTTTTTTTTCGGGGCTTTGTCCTCAAATGAAGTAACATAAAAAGGTAGCGTGCTCGTTACAGTAAAGGACCTGCGAGTCTGAAATGAGTGTGAGCGGCGGCCGTTAACGCTACAGAATTGGTTAAAACCTCCGGCCAGTGTGGGGCCCCGGCCAGCGCTGGCCCCTGCCTGGAGGCGGGCGGGGCAGAGGAGGGGCCGATCCGTTGTGGTAGCTGCATGAAAGGATAAAATCACACATTTGGATTGGCCCGTTGTGCTCAAGAGGGGCCCAAACTCGTCAAACACACAATTGAAGAAACACAGGCTTGTCATGCACTAGTGGAATGTAGTTTATGTGCTGGATCTGTTACGGTTTAGCCGTGCTCTGCGCCGTCACGCGAGTACATGTGCGCTATGTGGAGCAGGTGAGTGCGTTCTTACCCTCTGGGGTGGAAGAAGCGAGGCGGGCCGGGTGGCATCATGCCCCGCCCCCTGGGGTGTGGTGGTCGCCCTCGGAATGCCGGGTGTCCCGGAGGGGGAGGGGGAGGAGGCGGGCCATGCCTGTGGAAAGACACGCCCCCTTTACGCTCAACATCTCTCCTCCAAAATGTCTACCAGTTTTCATATGCATTACATATCTTTACTTCTACAGTAACTACACATATACGTTTCCATAAATTATATAAAAAATTTTCAATTATTTATATGTATTTTTAGACGCATATAAATTAGTGTTTCTCCATATACTTTCAGATAAAATGGACAGAATTCGAAAACTGAGACACAAAGCACAACGAGAACTGATTATAACTGAGAAATCAATAGTCAACCCAGCCCAAGATACTATTGTGCTTGAATGGATTATTTTGTTCAATGCGATATTTGATTGAATGCATTATTTGGATAAATGCATTATTTGTTTCAATGCATTATTTGGATAAATGCATTATTTGGATAAATGCATTATTTGGATAAATGCATTATTTGTTTCAATGCATTATTTGTTTCAATGCATTATTTGGATAAATGCATTATTTGTTTCAATGCAATATATGGATAAATGCAATATATGGATAAATGCAATATATGGATAAATGCAATATATGGATAAAAGCATTATTTGGATAAATGCAATATTTGGATTGGATAAATGCAATATTTGGATAAATGCAATATATGGATAAATGCATTATTTGGATAAATGCATTATTTGGATTGGATAAATGCAATATTTGGATTGGATAAATGCAATATTTGTTTCAATGCATTATTTGTTTCAATGCATTATTTGGATTAAAACAATATTTTGATCAGTGCATTATTTAGGTCAATGCAATATCTGGATGAATGCATTAGTTGGTTCAATGCTAGTTTTCTGAAATATCTGACATCATAAAGGTGTGCAGATCTCCATACCTGTGCATGTGTGGCGGAGGTCCTCTCATGTGCATGGGCGGAGGTGGTGGAGGCGGCGGACCCGGCGGACCCAGGTTCATTCCCCTTGGACCGCCTCGACCACGCCGGCCACGCATGTCAGGATACGGCCACGTGCGACCCATGCCTCTCCTGCAAAAGAGTGAGAAAAAATCGTTAAAAGTTGTAAATGTTTCGATTCAATATTTGGATAAATGCATTATTTGTTTCAATGCAAAATTTGGATAAATGCATTTAAAATGTATTTATTAAAAAGTTGTTTTTCATAAGCAAGTTTATTAAAATGTTAAGAAAGACTCGAGAACACATGGGCAAGACCTCATGGGTCCGAATCCGTTTGTGAACCCGTCGCGGCCTCTTCCTCTCATGGGACCTGGTGGAAACCCTTTCATCATCATCATCATCCCACGTCCTCCACGGAACCCACGGGGCATCCGGCCTCCCCTGCCGCGCATCTTCCCTCCACGAGCCCTGCGAATAAACACACAACATTATAGTGACGAGTAGGGGTGTGCGTGTGCGATATTGACCAAAAAATTGTCTCGATATTTTCTGGGATTTTATCGATAACGATAATTAGGTGATATTGTGCCGAGTGTGTTATTGTGCTGGTATCTTAAGGACTGCCGTGGACAGCTGACTCATAAAGTGTTTGATATTCTTCATATTCTATTATATTTATAAAGCTATTTTTCTAAAAGTGTGCATTAACCTTTGAGTCAAAGTCTTACATTTAATCAGTGAATTAGAATAAGACGACATTTGGGCTGTTACCAAGCAAATGAAATCAGTATCAACAAAATGAATCTTTGCAGCGCAGAGGACACACAGAAGCTGCGTCTGAAGAGGCATTTAGATGTGTTTACACACTGTTTAATGCAGGACATGAATGCTTTAACCTGCAGTTACAAATGCATAGATAATGTTTTGATATATTAAATGTTTGAAATCATTTAAATACTAAAAGATACTCTGAATGTGAAACTAAAATATCTATCGCACAGCCCTCTAGTGACGAGAGCAACCAATGAGAGTAGCAGCTTTGGTCATGTGACCCACCTGATCTTGCTGTCAGCTGAAGGTGAGGGCGTCTCTGTGGCCTCCGTCACCTCCGGCGTCTCCTTCACCTGCTCCGTGTCGCCGTCCATCTGTAAAACAACAATGCTATCAGTGAAAGAAGCCTGTCGGTAGTGTACACCAGCATTCTCAGTAGTAAACACTTGAGCTTCATGCTTCACTCGTCCCGAAACCGTCACCTCTGACCCAGACTGGAAGTGTTCCGGCGTGCAAGCCAAACATCTGCCGTGTTAAAGCCACACACCGGGCTTCACGTCAGCACACGGCCTGCTGGGATAGCGTGGGGATTTCAGAGCACGCCACAAGCCGTGTATGAACAGTGTGGACGGCCAACTGTTACAGTGAGCTTCTGCAAGAATCGGCACACGCTCAGAGGATTTAACGGAGCTTTTCAGAACGCAGAGGTGATGCGTGAAAGAAATTGAGATTATTGAGAAGGAAATGAGTATATTAGCAGTCCGTGGCTCATTGGAGACCTCATTTCCTAATGAAACAGGAAGTTGGGGCAGGACATGCCAAATATATACATATATATTAAATAGCCAATAGGCTTTCGCTTACACTACAGCGGTGCTATCTGACGTCAGGAGGGGGCGGTGCTTCTCATTCCAGAGCATTTTATTGGATAACAATTCGCACACACCCGAGTGTAAGATGACGTCACCAACGTCTCCGTTCCATTGGCATGGCGGCTCGTGCAGCAATACTGTAACGTTCACAAGTAGATCTGGGATCTAAACGCGTGCTACTACACAACCCTGTTGCTGAATGTGTCCTCTCGCCGTTTTTGCACCTGAATACACCGAGTATTCCCACTGAAAGCGTGTTCAACCGCACAGAATAACACTCGCTACGTTAGTCCGGTGATTTAAGAGCTCTTAGCGTCATTTATTTCCCGCACTCGGAGATTTACCGGAGGCTTAAACCCCGTTCCGTCGCCACGATCACAGCTGAACGAAATAACAGCACGATAATCGCTCTAGACGATAAAAACATCATCCGAGAAGACAAACACAGCCTTAACTATCAAACAAACACGCGTCTGCTGCTAAACGCTGGAGTTTTCCCTCAGAGTTAGCGACGGCGAACGCGGGGTTTAACGGTAAACACACAAGCGCTCCATTACACGCTCACAGCTCGTTTTCACTCACTTACCTTCTGAGATTAAGAGCTCTTCGAAACAACGAGCCTTAAAAATACACAACGTAATTCGGTGTATTCTATAAAACGAGCATCCGTCGGTTGCAGCGCGAAAGCTCCCGCGTTTCCTCGGCTTTGAAATGGCGGCCCGCGCCGCTCCGTCACTACGAGCGCTGATTCTTTGTCACAGCGTCATCGTACCGCGAGGCCCCGCCCACGGCGAACACAGCGCTGCGATTGGCCGGCGTTCCTCTCGCAACACCGACGTCACGACGCCGTTGTGCGTAAACCGGTTTAATCCCAAAGCACAGAGTATTTGAGCGTTTTCCCATTTGAGCTATAAAATATAATCATAGATTCATCATTTTCTGTATTTAGGCCTATCTTATTATTTTTAATTGTTAGAAGTTTTATAGCATGTGCTTTGCTATGGGAAAAAAGATCGAGTTTAACTTCAGCCTTCGTTTTCAAGCAACAAAATATGATATTACATAATATTAAAATTATATATAATAACAGGCCTATAGGCTATATTATAATATATATCACAAAAAAAAGGCTGTGCGTATCCCAGCGAACACAACTTTTACTAACGTTTTAAAAAGTGATATAAACGCCACAACAAAACGTTCTTAAAGCAGTGTTTATGGCATGTTCTTGTAACTTTATTAATCTTTGACACAGCCTGCCTTCTCTTCTCATAACGCGGAGAGAAAACGTCGACATTCTCATGATGTTGTTTGTACCTGAACGCTCTCAGATGCATGTCTGCAACCTTTACATCACTTTTGGACCACAACAAGAAAGCTGGACGTTTTTAACGTTGTTAGAATGTAACACTCAAAACATCTTGTGAACGCTTGTGTAACCCAGCTCTGTAACCTGAATAAAGCGTGTCTGCGCTCCAGAAACAAGCTTGACACAAAACACAAAGAGCAGATTACATCAACACGAACCCATCGTTTATTCAGAGGTTCCAGTTTAAAAGACACTGGTCTTCATATTAGACACCGACACTCCACTCAAGCATCAGCTAGACATATTTACATCCGAGTAAAGTCACGAGAGTGGATGAACAAACAAACAAACAAACAAACAAACAAACATCCATCTGTACAGCAGCAGCCGCCGGGAGACAGTTCTCGGAGACGCTCATCAAACGCTTCCGAACTCCGGAAGTAACATTCCCGCAATGCTACAAAATGCTACAATGTTTCCAAACGTGTTTGCCAGCGCTTTCAGAGCGGACTGTGCTGCTCGAGGACGCTGGAGAGCTCTTTGATGTACTGGATGGTGTATTTGAGGGTCTGGATCTTGGTGAGCGGCTGCGCTCTGCGGCTGTACGCCGGCGGAAGATACTCGCGCAGCTGATGCAGCGCCTCCGCCAGACTGCGCATGCGCAGCTTCTCGCGCTCGCTGGCCTTCATCCTCCTCTTCACGCTCATCTTCACTTTGGGCTTCTGCTGCTCGTCTCTGCGCCCGGACTCCGGCGACGACGCGTCTCCGAACGCCCTGTCCTCTCCGCTCCAGTCCCACCGGGACAAAACCTGGGAAGTGAACGCGTCGACGTCGATCTGCGCCATACCCGCGAGAGAGTGCGCAAAAGCCAATCTGCGCCGCTTTTAAAGCTACTTCACGAGCGCGGAGTTCAAAGAGGCGACCGCGCGCTTGCCACCCACGTGCGAATGAGGCGACGCCGGCGGATAGCGTGGAAGAGAAAAGAAAATAATTAGATTCGCTTTTGTGGGAAATGAGTCTTTACGACAATTAGCGCACTGACGCGATCAGACGAGCTTCACACGAGCGCGTCTCGCAATCAACATCAAACTGCGCTGCTTGTTTAATAAGGACAGCGCTTTGACCTGAAACTCGCCTTCAAGCCTTTATTGTGTTCAGGGATAAAGATCTGGCCTTGATTCCCAGCTCACACAGAACGTTCTTCAGCAACATTAATGCAAAGTTATCTGCTCTTTAATAATGTTCTCAAGACGTTGGCACCAAAACATGATTTATACATCGTTTTTGCAACTTGTTTTCTAAAACGTGGACATTTTTTGTGACTATGTTTTTAGTACATTTTAGTAAAATGTTACTATGTTTTTAAATGTTTCAGAACTTTCAGACAACGATCAAAAGTAACATTCCCATATTTTTTCAAAATGACAAAATGGAATGTTCCCTTTAACGCTCGTTTAAGAAAACTGTTTTAAAAATCTTTCTACAAAACCTACTCTCAGAGACGTTCCTGAAAGTAATTGAGAGATGTATTAATTTCCATAATAATCCATTATATATATATATGTGTATGGATTAATATGGAAAATAATGATTAGTGTTCTTCATGCAAAAAGAAGAATTTATTATAGAGGTTTAGGATTTAAAATGATGGCAAATTTCAACACTATTTGGAGTCATGAGAGAGACAATAGTGTGTGAGTTTAACGCTATTAATAAACCGATGTGATTTTCTTTGCAAATGTCCCAGCAGAGCACAGAAGTGTGAGCGCAGCTGTCTGGCGAGGTGTGACAGCGGTCACTCAGGATCAAGGCCTGACGGGAAGTGGCCGGTGTTATTAGGAGCAGACCGTTACTTTGATCCTGATGTTATTCTGACAGCTTCTTCAGCGCAAGAGGATGCTTGATTCTTTAACTGCTTTTTAATAACGCCGTGCTTATTGTGATGATGCAGCTCTATTTTCTGAGAAAATACTGACTGAGACTTGTCATAGCACTTGCATAT